GAGGAAGGAAGGGAGGGAGGGAGGGAGGGTATCATCCCCACAGCAGAGGAAATGGGGTCACATGCACATTTATTTCCAAAGCTAATTATATCCTGCAATGCAAAGCTCAACTCTGCCTCCCCAACCCTTCCCCTGCACACACACTGGCCAGGGTTATTTAAGACTCGATGCGTGGGTTTTTTATGTCTAGGTAAACAAATTGCTTTTTCTTATGCAGCTCCATGGATACTTTTATTTCTAAAAGAGAAAAAAAAGACTTAAATATTTTAAAGCCAGGTGCAATGTTTGTTTCAGAAGGTGTCTGCTGTGCTCCCGTAGGGAGGTGGGGACAATTCCATGTGAATTCAGATTTCTTCTGGTTGCTGTGGAGACGGTTGAGGTGCCATGAGTGACCTGTCACATACCTTGTGTGTGTGCCTACTGGACACTATGACAGAGAAAACTCAGTCCCCAATGAACTCCTTCAGCCCACCTGAGAGGGCAGGGCAGACACCAAAATTCTCCAGTTAGTCGTAGAAGAAGGGCATCCCGGGCTGCAAAAGTACAGAATTCCTATGGCAGTCACACAGTGTTCATCTGCCTTGATTTACAGTGCAGAGGATTGTGCAGAGAACAGTTTTGATGGGCTTCTGGTTCTGAGCTCCCATCTGATCATAGTTATGTTCAAGGGTGCCAGTATGGAAGAGCAACTATTTTTGGTGGTACTGGGGGATTTTATGATACAAATGTCACGCGAAGGCACCAGACTCATTTCCTATAATCTACCAAGCAGCTTTCTTTAGGCTTTCAGAACTGCCACATCCAATACTTGTGTTGCTGAGAAAAAACAGGGTTGATGCCAAGAAGTACTAATGCAAAGAAATGACCAAAGGAAGGCTGGGAGGCGGCTGTGATTCCCTGCCCCTGGCTCTGCCATGCACTCTGTGAGCTGCCGGGGAGGAAAGAACCAGTGTTCATGTTATCTCCCAAGCCGTCAAACCACCGTTTGATGAAAACAAATTCAATTTGTCTGGTGTAATAACAGGAGCTGCTTCTAATCTGAAATTCAATTTTCGGTATGTATCTAATGCATAGCAAATGGTAACCCAGGCACATCGGAAACAAGAAGACATTTGGAGCGGATGGCTTGCAGTGTGTTTAAACGAAGTCTAAAATACCGAGTGAATGATTACATTGTCAAAGCCACCCTTCTGTGTAACAGATGATTCATATTTAATTTGCTATAAAAGCGTAGAGCTCCTGTGACATTATCTACAAAAATATGCTTCCTAGTTGGATTCAAGTTTCTGGTGGCCAGCAAATAATTTTGCAATGACTGCAACACTACCCACCTTGCCATAATTAGAGACAAGTGCTGTCCTGAAAGAAAGAGTTATTGTTGAGCTTTGGTTTTGTAGTGTTTGTGGCTTCAGCCTCAAAGATATGTGCACGCCTGCTTGCCTCAGGTCAACAGCATTAAAATAAACAGGCCTGCTTGCTACAGCATTTTCTAACCAACCTCCAACTGGTGGTATCGCTATGCTGGCCTGTTACTGCAGAACACCACAGGAATGCAATGGCATTTTATTGACTTCTGCTCTGATAGGAGCGGTGATAGCAGACACCTTGTTGTGCAAACAGGGTGCAAGCAGAGATGATGGCAATTGATAGCTGTTGCTCATTAGCTGCATTACAGCAGCACCTGGAGACTTCAGGCAGGGCTGGGAGGCTCCTTTCTGGCTAGAAACCACCTAGGGTGGCTAGTGTTAGTGTTTGGGTCCAGATCTGGTTTTAAATGAATGTATTTATTCACCTTGACAGCTCTCCAAGATATACGGCAACGTCTTCACTGTGCATTTTGGACCCAAGAAAGCTGTGGTACTGGCTGGATATGAAACCATCAAGGATGCCCTTTTAAATCATGCTGAAGAATTTGGAGAGAGGGCAGAAATACCCATATTTAGGAAAATGACACAAGGAAATGGTAAGTGACGTCTTGGTTGGTTTTTGTAGGTTGTTCATTATATTCTTATAGCAGGATAGTATCATCCTCTTACAGATTGCTTTTTGTTTGTATAGCAGTGTATCAAGCAGCTTTGGTACCAGCGTGTAAGGAGGCCTTACAAATGTTTATTAACCACAGGAAACATAAGGATGTTACACCTTTATTTTAGGCATAGCATTCAGCCATGGAGAGCTATGGAAAACTATGAGAAGATTCACCTTGTCCACACTGCGAGATTTCGGAATGGGAAAGAGAACCATTGAGATCCGAATCCTGGAGGAAGTAAATTCCCTTATCAAATATTTTGAATCCTACCACGGTGAGTGTCAAGACTTTCACCCAGAGACAGAAAACATGTCTAGCAGAACAATAAAGATTAATGAAAGTTTAACTCTGAGCAAATGATATCTCATGGTTAAAGTTCAGCATATGCTGACATAGGTTATTAACCTGAGACCTTAAGACATTGAAATGGAATTCCCTGCTATGCATTCTGGGTGGTGACTGAGTTTTTTCTTTGGGAGGTCAGGACTACATTTCCATAGGAAACCAGACTGAAACGGGCATACTCACATCGTCATTTGTTTTCATTGCTTAAAATACAGGGAAGCCATTTGATACGAAGATGATACTCAACAATGCTGTATCCAATGTCATCTGCTCTATATTGTTTGGAAACAGGTTTGAGTATGATGATCCTGTATTCCTAACTTTGCTGAAGCTGTTAAATGAAAATACTAAGCTGTTGGGCTCCCCTACAGTGCTGGTAAGAGCTTGATTTTACGATCTGGCTTTTAGCTTTTTTGGGGATATCTGGTTCCTCATGTTTGTCCTCCAGGCCTCCCACATCTTGCTTCTCGAGGTGAGAACATGAACATTATCAGCCAGTCAGCGTGTACAGAACACATCTGTGGTTCTGTATCCGCAACGCACAGATTCCCAGGCTCCTGGGCTTAATCTGTGAAGCTTATTACTAAAAGAAAAAAACCCCAAGTCTTTACAAGAGGAACCATTTTACCCTCTTTGAAGAGCAGAAGCACAATACGTCTCTCATATCCGAGATCGGCCCTGAAATGCCATCTCAAATCCTTGTATTACGCCTTCAGGAACTGTCTTAGTTCTGCCTCTCCTAGAACCAGTTTTTTTTTCTTTTGTTTTGGCTACTGAAACTCAATCTTAGCAAACTAACAGCTGGTATAAGGCCGTTCCTTCCTCAGACAAAGCTTCTGCTTTGAATGCCAGTGGAGTCATCTTTCTGAGCCGCACTAAGGTCTGCGGCTGCTGTAACTCCAGACTAGCTAGGCCCAAAAGCACCACCCAAGCACAGGTCAGAGTTACACACTGTGTACAGACACCCTCTCAGGACGAGGCACCAGCTAACAGCTACCGGCGGGTGTTTCTTTAATTGTCTGGCAGGGCAACTAGTGGTCTCCTTGAAGATGTGCACACCTCTCATGGGATGATGGGGGTAAGACCCCTTCTTTCTCCTGACAGCACGTATGTCCATATGACATACTGCAATGCTGTGCTCAGTCCAGCTCCTAGGAACAGTGTAGTTGGGTTAGCCTGGTGCTGTGCTTAAGCTAATTGGCTTGGAAAGCACCATGTTGACACAGCAATATTGTCTGTTTGTGGAGGTGGCCAGTTCAAGTTCATTCTGCTGCCATAGGATGTGACACACCTGAGGGCTTTCCCTGGAATAAGTGCAATGCTCACATTCCCTTCTTTCACATCTGAGACCCTCTGTCCCACCACCTACAGAGCTGGAAGCCCTGAAAGAAGATTAAGCTGATGAGTTTCCCAAAAGTCATGGCAAGGACTCATGCAGAGGTATAACAGAGAGAACACTCTATTTCTGCAGCAATTCATAGCTGCTTGGACTGTACAAGCAAATGTGGGGGAATTAAGGCCTGAAATGTCAGGGCATGGGACAAGGACCAGTGGTATGATTTGATATACCAGTATGTGTTCAAAATGCCAATTAACAGTAAGACTTCTCTTGCTCCACAGTTATATAATTTCTATCCATCCCTTGGATTTCTCTCTGGGGCTTCCAAGACTGTGCTAAAAAATGTCAGTGAACTGAACGCATTTCTCCAGAAGCTCTTCCAGCAACACAAAGAAGAGTTTAATGAAAATAACTTAACAGGCTTTGTTGATGCCTTTCTGATGAAGCAACAACAGGTACTTTAAAGCTAAGTCTCAGAGTCTTTCTGTTCTCTTAGCTCTGACTTCTTATTAGGACTGAGCATCTGTCAGGGACTGGGAGTGAGTGGAAACAGAACTGCAGTGAGCAGAATATATCAAAGCTCATACTCACAGTGGGCTGTGCTGTACTCACTCCATAGCTCCACTGAAACTGCTGGTTAAAGGGATCTAGTTGTCAAGATGTCCCACGTGGGTGAAATAAGTTACCACTCAGCACACGTAAGGAGGAGATCATCCCAAACCTTCCTGCAAGAATGGCACAGTGATGAACTTCATTGCAGTAACTAAATTCCAACTAACCTAATAGCTGGACCTGGGGATTTGCACATACGCTTGGGACCAGACAAATTCCATACAGCATAGGCCCTAATGCTAAAATACTAAACATTTAGTTTCCTAGAGCATATAAAGTCAGAAAAAAGCTAAAATGCAGATAAAAATGGTGGCAACACAGTCACATGTTGGTATCGCTTGCTGTAGAACTTATGGCCATTACTTGTATGTTTTGAAGGAGTCAAAGAAACCGCACACCATGTTCGACAACGGAAACCTGTTGTTTTCAACCCTGGACCTCTTTGCCGCTGGGACTGAGACTACTTCTACAACTGTGCGCTGGGGTCTTCTTCTGATGATGAAATACCCGGAAATTCAGAGTAAGGCTAAGTCCTCTTGTACAATACACTGTTGCATACTTAAGGCTTTGGTTGTGGAAGGGAGTGGAACTCATTCAGTGTTGTCTAGAGTAATTATTCTGAGTACTCTGAGAGAGATAACAACCGTTGATTTTACAAAGGAATTTTATTCAGCTGGATTGCAATAAACCAGCCCAGCCAAATGGGAGAGGCTAAGGGCCAGTCTACAGTTACAGTAAAGCTCCCCCGTTGTTATTCTCCTGCAGGCTATGGGCTTACGTCAGTAAAGGTCTCCTCAGGAGCTGATTCTGATCTGGTTTCTGTTGAGGGCTAGGGGATAACAAAGGTGTGTAATCAGAATCAGGCATGGGATGTACTGTAGTGACTCCATTTAAGCTCCCTTGGCTCAACAACAAACCCGAAAGAACCACGCCATGCCCTGATTTATCCACTTCTGCTCTTCCCAAATACCCCTCAAAGTTTTCCGTTTTCTTCATCCTGGCCAAACTGGAAGCCATTTCAGTTGCAAGATAAGAGGGTTATCAGCTTCTTAATCCTTTCCTCCCTCCAAGGAAAGATTCAGGAAGAAATGAACCATGTCATTGAACCAGGAGAGCTGCCTAAGTTGGAGGACCGGAAAAAAATGCCTTATACAGATGCAGTGATACATGAAATACAAAGGTTTGCCAATATTGTCCCAATGGGTGTATCACGATCAACTCCTACCGATGTGAATTTCCATGGCTATGTGATTCCTAAGGTGAGCTTCGAGGCTATCAGCTTACAGATTCCTTACAGTTTTGTCTGAAGCAGACAAGAAGAAAAATATAAAAACCTAAAGACACTGAGATGCGTGGTTTAATCTATGATGTGATCCTTTTTCTTGGATCCAGGATAGCTGTTATAAACAGGCACTGGGCTGTGGTTTGTTACAGCTGTCTGAATCCCGAATAACCAGAGTGTTTAATTAAATCACACTGGTTTGAATCTCTTATGCCAAATGTGGAACCTCTACTTCAGCATCTTTCTTGAAAGATCTGGTTCTGTGAGAAAGGAATGTTTTGTGCTCCAAAAAGAGAGCAGCAGCTACTGATAACAGGCAGAGCCACAGTGGGGCAGGGAAGCATCCCCCAGTTCTGTTTGCCATGGCTCAGTCTTATTTGCCTCTTCACATTAGAAAAAAGAAAGCAGCCCAGCTTGACTAGGAAAGTGATCTGTTCCAAACAGCTACCGTGAGTTTCTTTGATCCCTTTCAGGATACGGAGATTATTCCGCTGCTGACCTCTGCTCTGAATGACGAGTTACACTGGAAAACCCCAGATCAGTTCAACCCTTCCCACTTCCTGGATGCTGATGGAAACTTCATTAGGAGAGAGGCATTTATTCCATTCTCCATAGGTGAGATGGGTGTGTGTGCACCACCAGGGGCTAGGCTAATGGAACAGTTCCCCCTGATTCCAAGAAAGTTCCAGGGACACAGAACATAGGATAAGGGATTTCTGGTCATTTCTCCTGTCCACCATTGCCGTAGGTAACCACCTCTTCTTTGGGAGATCTGGGAGACACTGATTTACCCACAGTCACTGAATAATTTCACATACCTACAGGCTTCTGTGTGGTTTGATACCAAGACAGTGGCACCTCTAATATACAGAGAGAAGGAAGGAAAAATTTCGTACCTCAGCAGCCTGCTCTTACAGACTGTACAGCTAGTTTAGACGGTCTCAGAAATCAACACTAACAGTCACAGTGCTGATCACTTACTTCTCTCCTGGTTGTTTTCAGGACGAAGGGCTTGCGCTGGAGAAGGACTGGCCAAAATGGAGCTGTTCCTCTTCTTTGCGGGCTTGCTCCGCAAATTTGTTTTCCAACCCCCTCCAGGAGTGGACAAGTCAGACCTAGATCTCACTGCTGATGTCGGCTTTACCTTGAACCCCATGCCTCACCTGGTTTGTGCTGTGCCCTATGAATGATCAAACGACATAGTTAGAGTAGTGAAGACGTCAAGCTTGAAAGCAAGTCTAGTTACCGGGGAAAAAAGCTGTCTGTACCTGAGCTTTAGGGGAAGGAAGACACCGGGCACTGCTATTTTTCTCTCATTCATGCAATTCTTTTCAAGAGCTCTTGCGGTGTCTGCATAATGCAAACCTTTCAGACACCCCTGAGTACTGCTCTCAGAAACAGTGTGATTCATTCCTGGAACAGCACATCAGAGATGCAGTTTTCAGGGCTGTTTGAAAGAATGAAATGGTTTCAAGCCTCCTTGAAACCCATCAGAGGCTCTCCCCTGAGAGCCTCCATGGGGAATTTCTCAGCCCAAAGTCCATGCTCTATAGCAGAGCTGATTAGCGATGGCCCAGCTGGAGACAACAGACACTTAATGGATCTAGAAATCTCCCCAGGATGGTTGTTCAGCTGAGCCTCAGACTGAGCTTCCATTGTGCGATACAACCTGCCTTATCTTTATTACAGAGTCCCAGACACAAGGGTGTAACATGGGCTGATGCCAAGAGCCAGGCACGGGACAGTTATCAGAAAACATCTAAGTGGTTTGGGAAGTGGGTTCATTCCAACTCACACTAGGCACTTTATGCTGAAAAGCCTATTTATGATGGGGCCAATCTAGCAGCTTTCTGCTTCTACCAAGAAAGGCATTTCTACCACTCCCTCACCTCTGCTGGCTTCATGGTGGCCCTGGCGCTTGTCTGATCCCTTACTGGCCCATCTTAGATCTCTAAACTGGCAGAAAATGACCAGCCACAGAAAGTGAGGAGTTTCTGAATCGGCATGGCTAAAGCTGGACGCAAGCCTGAGGCAGTGTGAGGGCAATGCAGCCTGGGGCCGGGCAGCAGGACTGCCGTGCTCCCATCAGAGAGCTGAGAGAGGCTCAGCCCTCTCCTCCACTTGCACCTTAAGAGCCCTAGTTGTTCTCTAGATCCTCTCTACCCTCCACAGAGAGAGACAGGATTCTTCAGTGGATGATTCAACTGCCGAAAGGTCTGAATTGCTCACTCTCTCCATTGACTGCAGGGTGAACAGGCACCTAATTCAAACTTCAGTCTCATGTATCAGGTGTGTTGGGATGAATAGGGACAATATTTTCCATTTGACTGAAAATGGGGCTTAAACTCTTTAGAAAATGTTGTTGTGTGTCTTCAAGCTCTACACCAGATACACAGCCCCTGGCATTTCAAGCTGTCTTCCTCTCCAGACATTCCTTGTGTCAGGGATAGGCAGCAAGGTCTCCAGGCAGAGTAACAGTTCAGCCTGCACTGCTGAGCAAACACCACTGCCACGAGCTCCCGTGGAAGTTGTATGTGCTCAGTAGGCAGCAGGAGCAGGGCCATCACAGTAAGAACTGCAAGCAAAATTTTGGTGCTTGCAGAAGTGCTTTGGCTGCTTAGGTAGGAACTGAAGTTACAAATTCAGAGCTGATAATGCTCCTGTTCTGCCAGCAGAGATCCTGCATCACTGTCAAGGCTAATAGGATTTTGAAGGTAGTCACTGTGAAAATAGATGTAAAACTGGTAATAGCGTCTGGAAGGAGAAGCAGGTTAGACTTTGTTACTAGGTCGCTCACCTGTACCATTAACTTGTCATATGGGGGTCTCTGTAGAAAGCTGGTGCCACCGCAGAGACTGCGGCTGTCCTAGAGCAGCTGTTTGATTACTACAATTAATGATTTATTTCATGTAGCAGCCATTAGGAGTAGGAACAACTAGCTGTGCCTGCAAGGCTGCACCCATTGAGGGAAGCGTGATACATGTGTGAAATCTGAATGGTGGTGCAGGTACAAGAGAGGAGGCTTCTTCATGTGCTGGGAAACAGGCAGGGAACCACGGGTGAGTTAGGGAGCAGTGAGTCGCTGCAGATGCTTTTGTGTTGGGTTGGAGGCAGGAAAGGCAGGTTAGGATGAAAAGGAAAAACGGAGAAACAGAACGTTACAGAGACTGAGGGGGCGGTTACGGTAAATCTGTAGCATAAAACTAAAGTTGCTGTCTTCTAAAGCTGATCTGTGCTGCAAATGGAAGGAAAAAAAGGAGGAAGAGAATATGAAGGGATGACAAAGCAGGGCGGTCTTTGTTTGGCCAAGACACTGACTCTTCACACTAGCTGTAGTTCATGCGACTAAAGGCAGCACTCTAATAGTTGTACTGTACCTTGTACTTGTACTGGTATTGCACTTGTACACGCATTGTACCGTGGGGCCAGCTCCAGCTTCTGGATACATCTCAAGGAGTCTGCTTAACAAGCGATGTAACAAGAAAGCCTTTGCTGCTACATTTGCTTATGTTTGTTTTGCTGTTGCTCTGTTTGCAGTCTAACTACTGCAAGCCTGATAAATAAATACTTTGCTCTGTTGCTCTTGATGTATCTGGTGTTGCAGGACAAAACTGATTTTGGGTCAAAATGATAAAGTTGGGCTGCACCACCTTTAATACACCCACATGAGAGAGGTAAGCAGAAGGATCCCTGGGCAACATGCAGCCAGAATATGTTTAACAATGCAAAGAGTGAGCAATACTCATAGCCACAAACAGCTCAAAGGAAATGACTGAATTTCTAACTTCACAAAATCACAACTGAAAAGCTCTTTTTAATACTTGAATAATTGTCCCCTTCAAAAGTATCTCCTATCAAAATCATATGCACAGTTCACGTGTTGATGCACCTGGGACCTTGGAGCTTTGTTAGCAAGTCTACACTTGGGGTTGTATCCTTGCTGGCTTACAGGACTTAGAGGAACAATTTTCAGAACTCACTATTTGGTGAATTAGGGAGTCCTTCCAGACTCCCAAAGTGCTTAAGATGTCCTGCAAGGCTTTTTCTTGCATTGGTCCCAGGGAGACAGACAAGCAGTTGAGATGGTATCATGCTCCGGATACCACATTTCCAAAAGGATATACTGACTTTAGGAGAAGTTGGGACAGGAGGAAAGAAAAATGATGATGGAGAAGGAAAACCCTTCACATGCATACTGTCTTGGAAGATTTGGTTGTTTGCCTTAAAGTGGAGATGGAGAAGAGAAGTAGGAAGAGTAAGGCCACGCAATGTCCCAGAGAAGATGAGTCATCTGTTTCCATCAACCTTTTCTTATCACAGAGGCAAAATGGAAAATTAAAGTGAATGGCAGTAAATTTAAACTAATAGAAGGAAATAGGTTTTTATGCCTGCTACAGCCTTTTAACACTGGAGAAGGGATGCAACTCCATGTACTTCAACACAAAAACTAGAGTCCAAACAAGACCAGGAAAAAAAACATTTTCTTGGCTGGGGAATACATTATCTTACAGTGCCCTCGGAGTTCCCGTGGTGCCTGGGTCTGGCTGCTGTCTGAGACAGGACATGGCTCTGGGTGACTCTCTGATGTGGCCCCTTACAGCGATTCTTGCAGCTCCTGCCCTTGCTTAAAAGGAACTCGTCACAGTAAAAGCCAGCAGGACTTATCTGAGGCTGCAATCCTGGATGCACCGCTGGTCAAGAATGGGACTGGCAGGGAAGGCACAGAGATTTTGTGGGGTTTAAGTTAATTTAAAGGATGCAGGGCTGGTGCTTTACTGGCTGGCTCTCCCCAGGCTGGCTAACTGGCAGCGCAGGGGCTGCGCTTAGGGGTCGGTGGATGATGCCCATGCTCCACATGCTCACCAGCACAGCCTGGTTCACGTGCTGTGGCAGGGGGTTGCCACGTGGGCAGGAGGGACCGAGGACAACCTGGCTGCGAGCACCCTGAGGGGCCTGGCTGCCCCAGGAATGCACCCGGAGCAGTGTCAGCGCCTGGCAGGTGTTTTGTGCTCGGCTCTGTGTGCTCAGGCAGGGGAGCACGTAGCAGTGCGGCTCCGGAGCGAAACACGTACCAGACACATTATTGAGACAGGAATTTCTTGTCATCGCAAGAGCTTGACTTACCTTTGTCATTTTAATGCATTGCACTCAGAGCCTGGTTTCAAAAAACCCAATACACTCCCCCCCGGCTTTTCAGAGATAATTTAGGTCTCTTTCTGAAAGGCCTTTTTATGATTTCAGCGGCTCCCAGGGCAAGGATGAAATACCAGGAGAGCGGCAGCAACACGTCACTTTTGCACTGCAGGGTGCTGCCAGTCAAACAAAACCCTGCAGGAACAAACATTTTGCACAGGACGCAGAGCACGTGCCATCGCAAGTTCTCATCGCAATGCCCACATTCTGCACCCTGTGCCAGCCCTCATCCTCCTTGCCTGTCTTTACAGCCCCTCTGCCTCTTTGCTCACTTGAGCAGGCAGGGTTGAATCATCCTGGGCATGCTCTGGGGGAAACTGTTGCCTCCAGCCCATTTCTTGGAAACTAATGAAAAAAATAATCCCAGAAATGTTGCAACACACTTGCTGCTTCTGTTTCTGGGCGGCTGTTGCGTTGTAACATCTCCACACCACGCAGGCAGCTCCGGGGTGCAACCAAGCAGCCGTTTGCTTTGGGACTGTGCCCTGCTTCACATTAGGTCCACTTCCTTCCCAAATTCTTTGCATTTGCAAGGCTGAAGACCCGTATTTGCTGAATAATAGCCTTTATATGATCTAACCTTTGGATAAATGTACCTTTAGCCTTGTGCTTCCTTGTCATGTAAGACAGCTCTTTCTTCCCTGAACAATCTTATTCCATTTGCTGTTTATTCCCAGTATCTTCCTGAAAGCCACTATTCAACCAGGTAGATCTCAATTCCTTCTGTACAAGATTTAAACCTTTATGAGGATGCAAGCTGCAGGTGTTTCATATCTTTGACTTAAAATAATTCCATTCTCCTGTCTTGTTCCCCTTCCGAAGCCTGCCAGGTCAGCTGGCTTCATTAACTTCATTAACTTCTTCCCTCTGTCTCTTAGAAGCTGCTCTTGCAAAATGAAGAATCCTCCCAGAAGTTTCAATTTTGTCTTTCCATTCCACTCATGAATCCACTCATGATCACTTGATCCAAGCTAATTTTCCATGGCTAGCTATTACATGTCCTCTACTTCAGACACAAAGTCTGAAATCACATCCCTTCTGGGCAGTTCAGAGCCAACTTTATGAAGAAGTTTATGGGATACAACCCCCAGGGATACATGGGCTTTACCATTATTAACAACCTTTGATCTCCACTTGACATCAAGAAAGCAAAAGTCTCCGATAACGATACTATTTTTCTCTCCAGTAACACGGAGATCTCAAGCCCTAGCCACATCTGAATCTGGAGGTTTCTAATAGGATTCAAAGAAACCTTTTTATTTCCCCGGGTCAGCGGAGTGTTTGGAGGGTCATAGTACTGCTAATAAAGGACCTTGAGGTCTCAGGGGGAGGAGGAGGTTGTAGAGGAATGCCAAGCACCTTTTCCCATGTATATGTTCCTGCACACACATGCATGGGTTTGTAATTTGAAACTCTCTTTACTTCTGGACAGGCTTTGCAAACTGCTTAGACCACATTCTCTGAGGTGTTTAAAGAGGGTGGAGTATGCAGTATTTATTTAGGTACTCTACAAACCTTAATAAGAATCGAGTGCTTGTAGCAATCGCAGAGAGCAAACAGAAAGCCAGCTGGCAGAAACTGAACAGTGCCACTGCATTTTTATTGCTTCTAACCCCCCCAAACCAGATTATTACTAAAAAAATGTCTTTTTTAATTTCATTTGTCTCTGATCCTGCATTAATTTGTCTGCTGTGTGCAGCAGTATTATTAGCTGTACTCTATTTTTCAACTGGCTATAAAAATTCAGCTTTTAAATTTCCTCCTGGTTTTCCGATCATTGGTAACCTGCACTTGGTGGATCTTAGAAGGCAAGATAAATCACTAATGAAGGTAGGACAAAAACCCCCAAACCCAGACCCTCATAGATTTTAAAGTTGCCTGGGATATATCAGTGAGAACTTTTTGTCTTTTTTAATTCAAACTAAATTGTAAAGGTGTGAAAATTGCTTTGTAATATTTTTCTGGGCTTCTTCTAGCCAATGTCTATGCTGATGCAATGTCATTTATGAGCGATCAACCATTAAAAAAAGACCTCTGGGTAATATGGGAATTCTTCATGTAATTGTGATGATGTACATGAAGTATATAATGCTTGTGGGATTTGAAATATTAATTTGACAGCTTGGACACCCAGAAATCTTTTAAAGCACTAGGACATAACTAACATGAAATGAAATTGCTTCCCTGCCCTCCGCCCTGGAGAACTGGCAAGGGGAATTCCATGACGCAGTGACCCCAAAACTGCTTCGGGGCGGGCCAAAATCCAGATGCCCCGTTGCAAAATCCACTTCCCTCTAGAAGAATTGGATACGCATTAAAATCTAAATGGCAGTACGAGAGATGGATTGAAAAGCTGCGCTGAGGAACCAATATAAATAGCCCGTAAGCTCTTCTATTAACCTGTAATTAAGACCACTTACCCCACTTACGGCGGTAAACTGTTCTTCGGTGCAAGACGAGGCTGGCACAGCCCAGGGTGTCCGTGTCAGGCTGCCGAGCGCTCCCTCCTCGCCTTAGCAGCACCCTCGGGATCGACCTGCACCAGGGTCAGGGAGGGAGTGAGCAAACAGGCAGCGGCGGTTCATGACCAGGCGTCGACACGGCTCCCGTAACACCGGTGCTCAGCAAACACTGGCAGTTCTCTGGGAGCAGCGAGTGGTGGGTCAGCACTGCCATGGGGTGAAGTTCCCAGCACCTGGTGTTATTATGGGCGATGTCAGGGTTGGGGTCAGTTTACCCAGCGGGGCTGGGCAGACGTTGCTGCAGCCTCTGAACGGCAGTTTGGAATTACCTCCGCATGCTTTTATCACCTGCTAGGCTATATTTGGTATTGCCTATGTTTGCCTTTCTTTGGGTTAATCCCTCCATCTCACCCCACAAAGAGCAAAAAATGGTGATTGCATTGAGCAGCAGGCGCCAGCATTTGTTGGCTGGGCACCCTGATGGGGCTGTTTGCAGGGCACGGGGGAATGCCCCCCTCTCCTCCTGCCGGTGGACCCGGCGCAGCTGAGGCTGCACGCATACACCCCGTGTTTGCTCAGGCAGCAGATTTGGACTGTGGCTTCCCATCACCTTGCTCCAGCCCAGCCCACACTCTTCTCGGCTGTCCCCGAGTGCTGTTTTCAAGCTGCCGGGGAGCAAGATGCAGCCGCAGCGGCGGGGCGGAGGTCGGCAGGAGTAGTCAGCCTCCCACGGTCCCCAGTGCAGCACCGAGGGGATACACGGGCAGGGGTTGGGGGGCACGACAGTCTCACCCTTGTAAAACGCAGGCGCGTAGCAGCAGGCACACGCACAACGGTCCTTACGGAGCGTGGATTCCCCCGGCAGCCTGCCTCGCTCTGCGCAGACCCCTTTCCTCGGCAAAGAGGAGCGGGGATCTGCGCACAGCACAGCGGCTCCGGGGACACACGTAGGACATGCCAGCAGGACCATACACTCCTGGAGGGATTTTCAGCCCCTGAGGCACTGTGTTGCCCTTGTAAGCTGCCGGCAAGGCACAGCTTTGGCGGGGAGCTGAGGAGAATTTATCCTGGGGCATGTGGCAGTGAAAAAGTCTCTCTGTGTCCTGGCAAAGATACCTCCAGAGCCTTCTCAGTGCAAAACGAGCATCACTTTATGGACAAGCACGGGGACAGCCAGCGGTTCGGGCAGCCTTCTGCTCCGGCCGTAGGTTTCCCTGCTGTGCCCAGCTGAGCTCTAGGTACCAAGGCCAGGTCCGAGCAGAGGAGCACGGATGTGCAATTTGTGGTCATCCAGGGCAAACTAAACGCCTGCTGTGGGAAAAACAGCTCCTCTGATCTAGTAGCAGGGATGCAGGAGTGCTTTGGTACGAGAGGAGCATTGTACCAAAGCTTTCCTGTGCGACAGCATGATTATTTGCCCTGAAATGTCTTCTCTGTTCTCATCTTTCTCCAGTTTGCCAACTTGTGTAGCCATTTGAGGTCTGGTCTTTAACTCTAGGTGGTTTTTTCAGTTTTTCATTTACTTTCTCCTTAACAGCAAAACCAGATTAGTAATGCACTGAGGGGGGTGGGGGTTCTTTCATGGCAAGAAGCCTAAAATCCATACGGATGCCAGCCAGGCATCCGCACAAAATGCCTCGTGTTTGACCGTGATGGGCTCCGGCTCACAGGCGCCGTTCTGCAGGTAGCGGCTCCGCAGCCGTTCCCAGCAGGGCACCAGGACGCAATATGTCCTTTCAGAAAGCAACGGGCGCTTGCCCCGTGCACACTCCCTCTCTTCCTGACCATCACAGCTCGCCTCTTTTTCAGCTTGCGGAAAAATACGGCCCCATCTTCACCCTCCACTTTGGGTTCCAGAAAGTTGTGGTCCTGACCGGGTACGAAGTTGTGCGGGAGGCGCTTGTGAACTACACAGAGGAGTTTGTAGACAGACCATCCATCCCAATATTTGACCAAATTCAGAATGGAAACGGTACTAGAGAAATGAGCGGGGGCGGGCGGGAGGGACAACACCGTCGCTTAGTGCCAGCCTAACTGTGCTTCCCCGAGCCCGGCTTTTAAACATCCCCCTTGGACCCTTCTGAAGCCAAGCCAACAGAAAATATTTGGCTTTCCTCACTTTCAGGCAATGCCTCCTGGCTTTTCACTACTATCATTTTTGCTAATGCACTTGCAGCCGATCCATATCCTAAACGTTCGAGGGTGAGGAGTGGGATTTTTAAAGGCACCGTGGTAATTCTGGGGTTAATTTCTGTAAGACATCAATGAGAGCAGCTCTCCACCACCACCACATTTACAAACCTTCCCCACGGTTTCAGGGGACTTCGGACTAACTGGTTTGGCTGTTCGGAGCTGTAGGGTTTTTCCCTTTCTCCTGCTGCCAGGTGCCACAATTTTGGACATCACCAGTCCCCCGTGCCTTGCCTCCCCACAAAAGCTCTTGGGTGGACCACGTGAAACAGCTTCAGGGAGAAGCAGTAGGCTGAGGCTGGAAATTTGCCCCCACAAACAACCTTACGGTTTTTCCAGGGCAACTGAGTATTTTAGAGGACTTTTTGCCTTGTTTTTCCATCCTATGCTTCAGCTGAGGCTTTAGCTTTGAGCAACCAAAAGGCGGCTTTATATGCTGGTCACAGGCTTAAGTTAGGATTACAATTAGAAACTACATTAACCAGCCATAATATCAATAGATGAATTTATCGCTACATAAGAAAAAGGAATCAATGGGAAGAAAAGGATTTTTCAGAGCTAATTTACATGTAAAATATCCCTGTGGGAGACTGTCAGTATTGCACTACAAGTCCTTTCACACTTACCTTCTCAGCCCGAATCTGAGCCACTTAGAGGTGACCCAAAGCTGTAAATTCACAGGGGCTGTTAAGTCACAATGGTCACAAATTTTCCAATGAAACATTTTTTTCTTCAGAAAATGCCAATTTGTTGACTCTGAAGCTGTTTGCAGAAAATTAATTATCCAGATGGAAGTGCCTGAATTAAAAAAAAATTAAAAATAAAGTTTAGAAATTTGCTTTGTCATTTTTAGAGAAAGAAGTTTTGCTTTCCAAATTAAAACTACATGGCTCTAAAATAGCGTTTATTCTAGAAAAAGCAAACACATTTAAAAACCTTGCAGACAAGATGAAGATGTGAAGTGCCAGAATCCAGTTTTTCAGTTGACACAATCTGAGATAGTCTTTGGATTATTGACACAATTTTTTCTTTCGCTATTTCCAGCACTCAAATGAAATACCCATCCCTGCTTGGTGGTGTTAGTGATCATCAAGGCAGGCGCTCAGTGACCTCTACAAAATGATAGTATTTTTGCCACTGCTGAAAACACAGCGTTGCTAGGAATCTCCATAAAACAGTTCAGCACTGGCCAGGGTTGAGGGGACTGAATTATCCCATCTCACATAGATAAAATATCTTTATGACTGGAATAGGACAAAGGGAGAAGCTTCAAAGATATAAGGTTGTTGCTTGAGGCCCTAGACTTGCAACCAAACAGGGTCAGAACAGTTGCGTGATTGACTTAGACCAACATCTCTCCCCAGCTCTACAGCCAACCAGTACTGGTCTGAAAGCCATACTTGCTTATCTTGCACTCAGGAGAGGGCTGGGGCAGGCTGGGTTGGGTGGGACCTTGTTTTTCCCAAACTACAGGTTCAGTGAGACTGGGAGAATGGAGCTGAAAGGATACAGGGATGGGGCACACAGACATGGGAGACCCTTAGTCCCCAAATCCGTGGGAAACTGGGCAGCAGAAACACTTGTGAAGATCCCTCTTCATCCAGTCCCCTGTTTTGTTTCGTGTGGTGGGGCTCCTCCGTGCATGAGCCCAGCAGTGATGTCTCACGGCCTCCCCAGGTTTGTTCTTCTCTATCGGGGAGCTGTGGAGAACAACGCGGAGGTTCACCGTATCCAGCATGCGCAACCTTGGCATGGGGAAAAAAATGATAGAAGGGAGAATTTTTGAGGAGCTTCACTTCCTTATCGAGATGATCAAATCCTTCAAAGGTGAGCTGGAGACCATCACGGTGCTGTACAGCCTCATATGCATCACTGCTGCTGCAACATCTCGCTAACATTTCCATCCTCCCATTGCAGGGGAACCTTTTAGCCTGACGTCCTTCAACTGTGCTCCAATCAACATCACCTTCATCATGCTGTTTGGGGACAGGTTTGACTATAAGGACCCAACATTTGTCACTCTCTTAAGACTCATAGATGAAGTTATGATTCTTCTGGGATCTCCGTATTTGAGCGTAAGTAACCTGTCTCACAGATTAACATTTTTTTTACACTGGCACATTACATTCAGGAGCCACACAAACCACAGAATTTAGTTCAGCAGTTTTCAAATATTCAGAACCAGCCATTACACCTAAAATGTGACAGTTCTCCTGTCGTACCACCTTGGTCACTACAAGTGTGCAGCCAGATTCCCCTTTGCTACTCTCCTTTTGAACCATCCTGCACATCTGTGTGGAGCTAAAATAAGAACTGAACTATGGTTATTTCAGCTCCACAGATATTTTTTGGCTTCTTCAACATAATTGCACCATCTAGGCTTTCTTTGTCATTGCTGCATTTTCTAAAAAGTTATATTCAGTGTTGATGTCCAGGTGAGTGAGATTTCACAAACTGCATTAAAAATGCTTCCTTGGAGAGTACCAGGAAAACTCTGTTTATCTTTAAACTATCACACCTCATCCTTCATAACTGACGTTGGAAAAAACTAACCAGTCTCATACTCATCTAAACTGACTGGTGGCCTGGCACACTGGAACCCCAACTCTGTTGAGAGGCTGACCAGGCTGTTACTCGTAAAGCATCTGTTCCCACAGAACAGCATAAATGCTTAAAATTAGGTAGTACTAAATAAAGGCTCAAAGGTTGCAAAGCCCTCCCTTAGGAAAATCTGCTGGGAAGTCCATGGGATGCTAAGATACTACTACTGCAAAAAACTCAACTGATATGTCATGCCTTAGGAAGAAGCTGTTTCAGCATGCTGATATTTCTGCAGACTTAATGTTTCTCTTTTTTATTCCTCATTAGTATTTCAATTTCTACCCATTCCTTGGATTTCTTTTCAAAACCCACAAGATTATGCTTGGGAAAATAGAAGATGTGCGCGTCATTTTAAGGCAATACATGAAGGCAAGCAGGGAGGATATCAATGAGAACAGCGTGAGGAGCTACATTGATGCACTGATATTCAAGCAACAAGAGGTATTTGACTGCTTAACTCTGTTGACTGTTTGCAATGTCTCCTTTGAATTTTCTAGCTAAAACTGTTGCTGAGTCTTGATTTCAGTCATGTCATGTAAATCTATTGAAATCCATGCTGTTATTCTAGTGGTATTGAAATCAGATGCCAGTCTCTTACAGTTGGTGTAATTTACTGCAGGGATTTTTCTATCAAAATTAAGATATGAAAGCCACTGCCTCAGTCCACTCCTGGAATAGCAGCGCTAATAATGTGAGATCAACTCCTTGTTCCCAGTAGAAAATGCATGAATTCACATGAAAGCGGACTCTGCCTTTCTTTTTATGACAACAAATTAATTAATCATCGATACTGTTGCTCCAAGACAAATGAAACACTTAAAGTACTTGAATGATAAATCATCAGTAGAAATCCTAGCCCTGCCCTGCACCTTACTTTAGTAGAGACTCTGCAGCTTCACACATCAGCTGATTTCATTCAACACAAAATATTTGGGCTCTGAGTTTTTTCTTCTTTCCAACTGGATCTGGGCCAACCTTAGGCACTAAGTATTCTACCCAGCTATGTGGAAGAAGGGTCAGTACAGTCCTAAAGCCCAGCAGAAATGGCCTGAAAGGTCATTCTGAACATTGCTCGGGATTCATCCTGCCCTTGGGTAGGAGGAGTCCCTCGGAGCTAGGATTAGCTGAATCTCCTTCTGTACAGGGGAGAGACCAGGCAAGGAAAGGGAGACGGCGGGGTAGCCCTGTATGTTAGCGAGTGTTTTGACTGTCTAGAGCTTGACGATGGTGATGAGAGTGTTAAGTGTTTATGGGTAAGAATCAGGGGAAAGGCCAACAAAGCAGATATCATGGTGGGAGTCTGTTATAGACCACCCAACCAGGATGAAGAGGCAGACGAAATATTCTATAGGCAGCTGGGAGAAGTCTCACAATCGCTAGCCCTTGTTCTTGTGGGGGACTTCAGCTTACCAGATGTCTGATAGAGCATATAGGAGCCAGTCTCGGAGGTTCCTGGAGTGTGTGGAAGAGACCTTCCTGACACAGCTGGTGAGGGAACCGACCAGGGAAGGTGCCCCGCTGGACCTGCTGTTTGTGAACAGAGAAGGATTGTGGGTGATGTGATGGTTGGAGGCTGTCTTGGGCACTGCGATCACAAAATGATAGTTTTCGATTCTTGGAAAAGTAAGGAGGGGGGTCAGCAGAGCTCCACCTTGGGGAGGCAGGGCAGACTTTGGCCTGTTTAGGAGAC